AATTAGGATCATTTGACATCCATATGACCCCAATTGCCATTTTTGGGTTAAGTTGGGCAGAATCTACACCATGCTTGCATTGACCAGCATGTAGTGGTTGTCCAGCCAAAAATAATTCTGTGAGAGTGGTTAGCTTTGTTTTTGTGGGGAGGAAAGGATCTGATTCTCTGTACTTAGCCAATCCAAATGGGACCACTTCAGGTCCACTCCCTCTGAAAATTGGGGCCCCCACTCCTCTCAACCCCCTTAGACATTTATATTCCGTAAGGGTATATGAATTAGGAGCAGTGATAGGCTGTTTCAGTCCTCAAGACTGCTCTACTGTTCAATAAAATCATGGTTGATTGGTTTCTGTTTCGAATTCTGCATTTCTGTCTACTCCTGATAACTTTGATACCTTTGCCTAATAAGAATCTACCCACAGCATAAAAACAGAAATTACTGGATAAACTAAGCAAGTCTGACAACATCTGTGGAGAGAAAGCAGAGTCAGCATTTCGGATCCAGTGACCCAGAACTGATAGCAGTTAGGAAAGGTGGTGGATATGCTGAAGACAGGGTGTGCAGGTGAAAAAGAGTAAATGGATAGCTGGAGATAGATCCCAGAGAGAGAGAGAACAGCAGTTGAGCAGCCAAAGGGATGGATAACAGTGAATTAGGGAGAAGGAAATGCTGATAATAGGGAACATTAATAAGAGAAAATGGATTGGCTGTGCTGAATGCAGACTAATGTCATTGACAAGACCTGGGGTGTGGGTGTGGGTAAAGGACATGGAAGGTGTTCAGGCCTTAAAATTAATGAACCTGATATAGAGCCCTGAAGGCTGCAGGCTGAGTGGAAAATGAGATGCTGTGAAATAAAATGAGTTGAGGATCTATCCATCTCTGACTTAAAAATGTTTACTGGCTCCATCTATGCTGCTTCTGAAGCAGAGAGTTCCAAAGTTACATAACCCCCAGAGCAAAATAAAAATTCTCTCCATCTCTGTCCTCAAAAGGGTGACCACCATTTTTTAAACAGTGCCCACTAATTCTGAAATAAAACAAAGAACTGCAGATGATAGAGCTCTGAAACAAACGGAAATTGCTGGTGAAACTCAGCAGACCTGATAGCATCTGTGGGAAGAAAGCAGAGCGAATGTTGCGATTCTAGTGACCCTTCATCAGAATTGACTAATTCTGGACACACCTACAAGAGGAACATCCTTTCCACATCCACCTTTCAGGATCTTACACAGTTCAATGAAATCATCCCAAACTCTTCTAAACTTCAATGAAAACAATCTCGGCCTTTTCAACCTCTCTTCGTAAGACAATCCAGTTATCAATCAAGTAAATCTTCACTCATCTGTTCCGAGGCATTTAAAACCTTCATTCAATAAAGAGGCAAAACTGCACACAGCATTGGAGGTGCAGCCTCGCCAAATGCCCTATTTAAATGCTGTAAAACCTCCTTAGTTTCTTTGATAAAAACAAAATATTGCAGATACTGGAAATATGGAGAAACTCATCAGGTCTGGCAGCATCTGTGCAGACTGAAATAGAATTAATGTTTCAAATCAAAGACTCTTGAAAAAAATGACAATGCTGCACTGTCCTTTATTATGAAAGGAATTAAGTATGAAAGCAAGGAGATTCCACCTATCAAGTTGACTTGACAATGTTGTCTTGAACAGAGGAATTTGATGAAACCTTTCCTGAGATCAAGAAAAATGTTTGGGGAAAAAAAACACCAATTCATTCACTACCTCATTTGCAACCTCAGAAGAAAATTAGAGAGGAGCAGATGTTGGGGGTGATTGAAGATTCAAATAAGCCACAAATGGAACAGTCCCTGTAGGCAGTACAGCATTGGGGTAGTGTTGGCTCAGAGATGTCCCAATGGAGAGGAACGTTCAGTAGCAAATGCGTCCAGGATTTTGGCTATTGCAGAGTGTAAATACACCCAGACAGAGAAAGAAGATTTGGTGGTCATACTTGGAATCAGGAAGTTCCACCAATACCTTTACAGACATAAAATTGCAATAATAACAGACCACAAACCCCAGTTTGGTCTATTTAAAGAGGACAAGGCAGTGTCGTCCATAAGTTCAGGGCAAATCCAACGATAGGCTCTAATACTTAGTGTGTATAATTACAAATTGGAACACTGTCCAGGGGGGCCAAGTGGCAATTGCAGATGCATTGAGCTGCCTCCAGCTGGCAGATATACCACAGATGTTACCGCCACTGGAAGAATCCGTAAAGGTTTTTAATTTTCTGGACACACTTCCAATCACAGTCGACAATATCAGATTTTGGATGGAGAAAGGTTCAGCCCTGGCAAAGCTGAAGCAGCTGGTGGTGATGGGGGAAACCAAAGGGCCATCACAACCAGAACTGAAACCTATATGGACCCAGAGAGACCAGATCATTGTAGACGACGGCATATCATTATGGGGAGCGAGAATGAGAAAAGGTCACTGCCAGATGGTTCACTAGCCACATTGGTGGGCAGTGCCCAGAGTACCAAGAAGGACAAAGATTACCGCCAGCAGCTCCCCCACGTTCATGGGAATGGCCGGGTTTACATGAGGTAAAAACGTCGACTCTGCAGGTCTTTTCATGGGTTCAATGTTCTTAGTCACTTTGGATGCCCACTCAAAACGGCCGGACGTGCCTTTTTTGTCAATTTTGCTTCAAATAAGCAGAGGGAATGGGTTGGACAAGCATTAACATCAAAACAATGGAAGGAAACTGTTTTCTATCATCAACAAATGAACCACCACGCTAGTTGCATGACTCAAAAATCAGTTAAAAATTACTCTCATGGTGTACAGAACTGGAACAAAAACAAAGCTGCTGGAAAAGCTCAGCAGGTCTGGCAGCATCTCTGGAGGGAAAAAACAGAGTTAACGTTTCGGATCCGGTGACCCTTCCTCAGAACTGATGGTGGCTGGGAAACCGTCAGTTTATATGCAGAAAAAAGGGAGGAGGATGGGGTAGGGAGTAAACGATAGGATAAAGCCTACAGAGGGAGAAGAGCAGTTGGACAGACAAAGAGTTGCTAACGATCAGGCTGGGAGGGTAAATAGTTGTTAATGGGGACTGTTAGTGACTGACAACAGGGGGTGTGTAATGGCAGGCTATGTGGTAACAAGGCCTGGTGTGTGGGGTGTGGGGCTGGGACATGGGAGAGTTTAGGCCCTAAAATTATTGAACTCAATATTGAGTCCGGAGGGCTGCAGGGTCCCCAAGCAGAAAATGAAGTGTTGTTCCTCCAGCTTGCATTGGGCTTCGCTGAAACACTGTAGCAAGCCGGAGACAGAGATGTTGGCCAGGGAGCAGGGTGGTGCATTAAAGTGGCAGGCAACAGGTAGTTCAAGGTCTTTGTTGCGAAGCAGTCATCCAGTCTACGTTTTGTTTCCCCAATGTAGGGGAGACCACATTGTGAGCAGTGAATGCAGTAGAGTAGATTCTAGGAAGTGCAGGTGAAGTGTTGCTTCACCTGGAAGCTATGTTTGGGCCCTTGGATACTGGGGAGGGAGGAGGTAAATGGGCAGGTGTTGCACCTTCACTGGTTACAGGGGAAGGTGTCGTAGGGCTGTGGGGGGGGGTTTGTTTGGGTGGAGGAAATGTGGACCAGGGTGTCCCGAAGGGAACAGTCCCTGTGGAAAGCTGACAAGGGAAGGGAGGGGAATATGTGTCTGGTGGTCGCATCTTGCTGGAGGTGGCAGAAATGGCATCTGATGATTTCTGGATGTGGATGCTGGTGGGATGGTAGGTAAGTAACAAGAGGAACCCTATTGCTGTTGTGGGAGGGAAGAGAAGGGGTGAGGGTGGAAGTGCGGGAGATGGGTCGGACCTGGTTGGGGGCCCTATTGACAACGGTTGAGGAAGAAGGTGGAGATTTCGGAGGCTCCCTTGTTAAAGTTGGCCTCATCTGAACATATATGATGGAGACAGAGGAACTGAGAGAATGGGATGGAGTCTTCACAGGAAGTGGGGTGTGAGGATGTATAGTCCAGGTAGCTGTGGGAGTCAGTGGGTTTGTAATGGATATTAGTGGCCAGTCTATCCCCAGAAATGAAAACAGAAATGTCAAGGAAGAGAAGGGAGGAGTCAGAGATAGACCAGGTGAAAGTGAGGGCAGGGTGGAAATTGTAGGTGAACTTGAAGTTTTCTGATTCCAGACGAGAGAGGGAAGCAGCACCAATGATATCATCGATGTATTGGAGAAAGAGCTGTGGGTGGGGGCTGGAATAGGACTGGAGCAAGGAATGTTCCACATACCCAAGGAAGAGACAGGCATAACTAGGGCCTAATGCTCAACCATCGCCACCCCTCTTACCTGAAGAAAATGAGAGGAGTTAAAAGAGAAGTTGTTGAGGGAACTGGAATTGTACTCATTATCTTCAAATACTTAGGAGCATTCTTTAATCACCTACGGTAAGGCTAACATTTCAGTGATTCTGCTTAAAAGATGTAACAGAAGACAATAGGTTTTTATTTGAGATAGACTGTGATCTGTAACACTTTGCAGCCATTTTGTTTAACTTTAGGAACAGCTTCTTCCCAGCCATTATTAAACTGTTGAATGGACTCTCTAACTTCAAATAATGCTGATCTTGCTAATGTTGATTTTGCCTAGCGCACACTCTGTGCAATGCAACCTTTTATACCTCTGTCTGAGATTTTTTTCACCCTATGATCCGTACGTCCTTGCTTACTATGATCTGCCTGTACTGCTCGTAAACAAAGCTTTTCACTGTACCCAAATACACGCAATAATAAATAAATCAAACTAATTCCTAAAGCTTGTGACTTTTTCATTAAAATATCTTTGTGCATTCTCTTTGCTTTATACCACAACAGTTTAAAATACATCAATCCCAAAATTCTTATATTATACTTAAAAAAATGGTCAGATATGCCATTATGTGACAGGACTCAAATGTCTCTAGAACTGATAAAGAAGCTCAGATACTGTCTTACTGGTTCATTGATGTTTTGACTTCCAGGTATTCTGATCGGCGTTCTGGCACGTAACTATGCTGCTTTGTCAAACCTAGACAAATTTTACTTTGGGTTTCCTGGAGAGATCCTCGTGAGAATGCTGAAGCTGATCATTTTACCTTTAATTGTCTCCAGTATAATTACAGGTAAATAATTGTATTGATCTGCATTATAGAATGAGTGCATTGAAATCAGGAAGATTAATTTTCAGAATCATTGATTGTTATTTAAAGCTGTTTTAACTGGAATGAAATTGGCAATATTTGTAACATTTTTTATTAACCAATGCAGATTTTCATATTGAGATGCACAGCACGGAGACAGACCCTTCAGCCCAACTATTCCATGCCAGCCACTTATCCTAAACTGATCTAGTCCCATTTGCCAGTATTTGGCCCATATCCCTCTAAACCCTTATTATTCATATACCTATCCAGATGCCTTTTAAATGTTGTAATTGTACCAACATCCCCCACATCCCCCGGCAGTTCATTCCATACATGCACCACCCTCTGTATGAAAATATTGTCCCTCAGGTCCCTTTTAAATCTTTCCCCTCTCACCCTAAACCTATGCCCTCCCCTACCCTGGGAAAAAAAAACTTAGCTATTCACCCAATCCATACCCTTCAATATTTTATAAACCTCTATAAGGTCACCCCTCAGTTCTGAGGAAGGGTCACCGGACCCGAAACGTTAACTCTGATTTTTTTCTTCACAGTTGCTGCCAGACCTGCTGAGCTTTGTCCAGCAACTTCTGTTCTTGTTCCTGATTTACAGCATCCGCAGTTCTTTTGGTTTTTAGTTAATATTTCAGGTTCAGTGACCCTTTCTCAGAGCCAATCCACGATTCCAGATTTACATTTAGCAGCAAAATGAAAATCTATGGTGTTCATGTGAAATATGTCTCTCTGCTATATAAATGCTTGTTAATTTACTGAGTGCAAAACAGTGCATAAGTTAACTTTATTTGAATAGCATGGTGCATCTATTGTAAAAGATTTCCAACACATTTTAAACTCCCAACCTCCCCCTTTCCAACCCAACTCTCCAGTGTGCAGATTCACTTCCAGTAAAAATTGAGGAATTGAGCAATATAAACCCTTAGCAATACTCATAACATTCCAGTAACAGTAGTAAGACACTGAATACCCACTATGACAACTACCTACAAGTAAATTATCCATTGTGACAGATTATTCCTGTAGTAGGAATTGATTGAATGTAATGACATTAACAATAAATATCATGCCTTTATACAGTGCCTTATCACATTTTTCTGAAATATCCCATGAGGCCATTCCTCATAGAACAGAGAGAACTGGGAGATGATTTGATAGGGATGTTTAAAATGGTCAAGCAACTGAACGCATTAGAAAGGACCAAATCTCAATTGTTTCCAGTAGATAAGGAGTCTACAAGCAAACAATAGAACATTTTTTTTTTGAAAATTAGGACAGAGAGGTTTGATTTTGTGGATTAGGTGACTAGAGTTCATGGCTGAACCAAAAACTATTTGAATGTTAAACTATAATTGGTATAGTTTAAAGAAAGAGAAATAAAGGGATTGGAGTCATGAATGGGTATATGTGATTTGGACCATTGCTTTTAAAAAAAGGTTGCCCATCAAGCCAGATGGGATCATCCAAGCAGCCTGCTCCCATGTTGTGAATTCTGTGCAAGTGAATTTACGGAAAATGAAAGAAAGTGCAGTGATGGCAGCAAGACTACAAAAAAACTGCAATACTATAAATTAGTAGCTAACCCGTGTCTGATGGTATTGGTTGAAACAGTAATATTGATCAATGCACCCAGCAGAATACACCTGTTGTTCTTTAAACTAGTAAAACAGGTAACAGGAGTCTCAGCTTATTATCTCATTCGAGCTAGCCTCTGTACTGCACTGACTTGTCAACTTGTCTGGGTGCTTAAGCTCTGGAGGGGAAAAAGAGCTTGAACTCGCACAACTGGTGCAGCGGTAAGTGTGAAAGCCAACACATCAGTAGTGTTAGTAGTGACGGAGGAGTTAATCTCAACTAATTGTGTTTTTAATATTGCAATTACTTCAAAACTCTATTGCCCTCATTGCACTCTTACTCCGAGTCCAGGAAGATGTAAATTTAAGCCCCATTCCAGATAATTGAGTGCATAATCTAGGAATGTCACTTTGGGGATTTTCTGATATTGAATGAGCTGACTTTCAAACTAGATACTAAACTGAGGTAACAAGGTGTGGAGCTGGATGAACACAGCAGTCCAGGCAGTATCAGAGGAGCAGGAAATCTGGCGTTACAAGTCTTTTCAAGTATATTTAGAAGTTCCATCAACACCAATCTAAAGGAGAGCAGGGAAGTTCAGCTGGGATTGTAAAATAAAAGCACATCTTTTAACCAAAATCACAAAAATAAATTATTCAAGTTAATTACCATATATTCATGTAATAGTTAAATTACTAAGTTAAATTTTCAGCCAGAGGGTAAAGACTTGACTCTTACACAATTGGTATTTTGGAGTTGTCAGTTTGGACACTGCTCCTGCCAACCCTGTCCCTAAAATGTCACACAAATAAATCAAAAAGTATTATTATTGAAATCTATTTATTAAAAGCATGAATACTGTTTTCTTTACAACTTTTCTCACTGTTTGGCTGACTGGTATAACAGAATTCATGGGAGTCTCATCCACGTATCTAACACAGGCTAATCTTTTGTTGATGTTTAATTATAAACTCATTGAAACATGACAAACCTGTCCTCAATGTCTGCTAGGAGACACTGTAATCAGCAAATAGATAATCGCACTAACATATCAGACTATAAGATATGAGAATAGAATTTGGCCATTCAGCCCATCAAGTCTACCCACCATTCGATCATGGCTAATATGGTTCTCAACCCAATTGTCCTGCCTTCTCCACGCAACCCTTCATCCACTTATCAGTTAAGAACCTATCTTTCTCTGCCTTAAATATACCCAATAACTTGGCTTCCACAGCCCTATGCGACAATGAGTTCCACAGATTTACTACCCTCCGGCTGAAGAAATTCCTCCTCATCTCAGTCTTTGATTACTATTTTATTTTATTATTCTATTATGTGATTTAATTTGGCTGTTGACTAGCCAACCTCTCAAGAGAAAAACAACTAAAAGTGCCATGAAAAGTTGATATTGTTCTGGATTTTGATGTTTAGAACTTATTTGTTTTACATTTAAAATTTTTATTCACGGTGTTACCTCCTCCACAATCAATAGTCTAGGCCCCTATTCAAGTATGCACAGCAAAGATATCATTCTCTATTAACTTCCACATCAGGGATCGCCTGAAATACTGAATATGAATTATCAAGTTGAAATCTTACCTAAAAGCTTCACAACGTTTGTGGTAGGCTTCAACTTTGTGCTGCAGTTGAGCAGGGTTGCTTTGACCCAGGCAGTTCACATCAATGATAGCCAAAGATTGTTGACTCTGTAGTGAGAAGCAAACACCATTGCCTCCCAGACTGAGTTTTCAGATGATTCACCGTTTCCCAATAGGCAGAATACATGGTTTTTGGTCTTTTGTTGCAGTAGAATTTTTTTTCTTTGAAGTACACCATCCAAGGCTGGATTTGAAATTTGCAGTGTCATTTTTCTTGCTTATTTCAAGGCAAAGATTTTGGTGGATTCTTGAGAAATTTAGATTCCATTCTGGCAATTTTTTGTTGCAATTTCATTTTTCACCTGCAGCCGCACGCTGGGATTTCCTCTGTTCATACATTTACTCTTGTACACCTGCATAAGCAGTGTAGGGGTCTTCCTCCAAACTCCAATGATCTTCTCCAATATCTTATTCTTCTGTTGCTGCACAATTATTAATTTGCTTTGCAATAACAACAACTTATGCTTGCAATGAATTCTAAATCTGCCATTCTTTCTTATACCACATTGCCATATTAGAAAGTGAGACACAGTTTGCACCAGTATGGTGGTAACTTTAGTTGTTTTACATGTTGACATTTGCTGACATCAGGAGCTGGGCAATTACATTCAAGGATGTGCTGTTCTATGATCCTATCAAAAAGGAAGCTTGCACCAGGGTGAGTTTGACTCCAGTTGCGCACCGTGCTGTGTACAAGGAGATTGGATTTTTTAGTTAGAGGTTGGTCAACTTTAAAACCATTCCTTGAGTATATGCAGCACTTTGCTGTTTGAGGGACCTCGGGGTGCACAAATTGACTTCTGTATGTTCCTGCAGTACCATAGTGGTCACAATGAATATGAGAAACTTTCTGATGTCCTGAGGCCATGAAAGATATTCATAAATGCAAGTTCTTTCTTTATCATAATGAAAGAATTGCTAAGTTATTCAGTGATTCAGACAATAGAGCAATAGTGCAATGAATTGGAGCACTCGCAGTTTGTTAGGAATAGATATGTTTTTACATATTTTAAGAAGTTAGCAAATAGATCATTTAAAATATTTTGTTCTAGATTCAAGTAGTAGCACCGTACTAACAAAGTTGTTGAACTTTTCCCCACAGGAATCGCTGCGTTGGATTCAGATGTGTCTGGGAAAGTTGGAATGCGGGCAGTGATATATTATTTTTCAACCACTATAATTGCTGTAATTCTAGGTAACAAATATTTCTGTATAATATTACATAAGCCATACATTCTTTGACTGTTTTATTTGTAGTCATTTAGTGGTACAGATCTTGAGAATAGCTGAGAGTAGGTACATTTTGTTGAAGCTTTGCATCTTGTACCCTTGAGGACATCTTTGCGAATACCAAATATAAATGGGGAGCAATAATTTGTACTGTAAAAGTGGAGAGTGCTGATCATTTGGCAAGTGGCGCGTTCTGCATGACAATGCCTGTAACTATCAGAATCCTTTGGCCATTGACCTACACTTCACATGGCATCTGCCAGGTTAGAGAACAGAGATATAGGAGATGCTTTAGATTTAAGTAGAAACAAGTACGTGCCACACAGATCTATCAATAAAAAGGGAAAGAGGCATGCAATCATTTACTTTATACACATCCACAACTGGCCCAGAGGGAACATCTTATAGGACCAACCCGAAAGCAATCCAGTGATGTACACATTAGACTAGGTCACAAAGCATTACAGAATGGAGGCAAGTCAATTGATTTAAGATTCAGATCAGTCATACTGGTTGAATCAATTCAAGGGCTGAATCATCTCTGAACCCACACTTCTATGAAGTATCAGGCAAAAGTCACAGCAATCCCGGAAAAGAAACACGCAACATATTAAATGATTGCCAGCCAGTATATTTGTGGGTTTTGACAGTGTTTAAATATAAAGTTAGTTCTTTACAGTTTGTAAAGAAAAATCAAAGTGGTCTGCAAACAACTTTGAAATAGACAAGGAAGAAAGGGGGAAGTGAATGGGAGAATTTCATACAATAAAAATGAACTCAGAGGAGGTAAAGGAGAAAGTGGCTATTTCAAGTCATTAAGTCAGGACACATATCTCTGCCCTCATCAGCGTCCCATTTTCCATCATTCCACCATTAGCAGCTCTAGTATGTGGGAGTAATAATTGATAGTAATAATCAGATTATACTGATGTCAGATCATATGCATCTGGGACCCTACTGAACAGTGTCCAGCCTACCTCTCAGCTTCTACTGGCAGGGAAATGCGTCTCAAAGATGTGAACAATAGATGAAGTTAGCTGTTTTACACTGCTCCTTTGCAATAAACCCACAAGTGGTTTTTACCTCCAATAGGATGTCGTCATCAAACCAAAAAGACGTTTTGCCTACAACACAAATGATTAGTGCGATAAGTGTCAGGGCAGGTGTGGTGACAGATGTGTAAGCCTGACTCCCTACTGGCTAACTGACTGTATGGAACAACATGTCCTGTTGACCATTCACAACAGAGCATGTGCCCATCTTGCTCAACCAGCCTGTGTTTGTAAACCTCAGAACACAATGCCCAACGGTAGATGTGATTTTTGCTATTGAATAATTTGGACTGTACCAAATGTTACACCAGAAGTCAATTTCCTGCTTCATCCCCATGACAATGATAGCTAAACAAAACAGAACCCTCTCTTTACTGTATAAAAAATGGTGTTTATTTTTTTCAAGTCTGATTTTGTGCATCCTAGCCTTGATAAGTGAAAGATGAATTTGTACCTTTTAGTAATGTCAAGTTCTGTACTACCATTTCATTGTCCAGTGATATTTTAGTAAAAATTGCAATGCAAAATGCATATGCATGCCTTGGAGTTTGTAACTGGCATTAAACCATGAAATTTATACTGAATTAAATGATGTATGAAACTTATTTAATCAACATTCAGTGACAGAACAATTTTTAAATATTGTCACGTACTTTTTTTTGTACAAGGAATTGTGTTGGTGATGAGCATTAAACCTGGTGTCTCCCAAAATGCTGAAGAAATTGACAGGAGTGGAAGTTCGCCAGAGGTCACCACTGTAGATGCCATGCTAGATCTTCTCAGGTGAGTTCATATCATCGAGGCAATCTTTGTCGTCCTTCATCTCTATTTCCTATCATCATCCAAATTTTGCTTGACTACAGCTTAATAACTTCATTTCCCCATCATATCACATTTAAAAGTGTCACATACCAATCACAAATATTTTTTTAACAAGTTTAGATTTTAACCAAATACATACAACTTTATACAATTATCCTTATTAGTAGACAGAAATTATATATGAGATTTCCTTTTATCAAAGGATTTCCTTTTATTTTGGGGTGGTGGGGTGGTGGGGTAGTGGGGTGGTGGGGTGGCGGGGTGGCGGGGTGGCCCAGTGGTTAGCACTGCTGCATCACAGCACCAGGGACCTGGGTTCAATTCCACTCTTGGGTGACTGTCTGTGTGGCGTTTGCACATTCTCCCCCTGTCTGCATAGGTTTCCTCCCACAGTTCAAAGATGTGCAGGTTAGGTGGATTGGCCATGCTAAATTGCCCCTGGTGTTCAGGGATGTGTAGGTGAGGCAGTTTATAGGGGGATGGATTTGGGTGAGTACTATGAGGGTTGGTGTGGACTTGTTGCACTGAAGGGCCTGTTTCCACACTGTAGGATTCTATGGCTGAGAGTTATTGTAGTGTAGTGCAATGTCAGGTATTTTAAGCAATACATTGTAAAAATTATATCATTTATTTTATTGTCAGATGTCATCCCACCTAAAGTATTTAGTTTTCAATCAGATTCTACTAGACTAAAGCTTTACCCAACTGAGTAAACCAATTTAAGATTCCAGAAATTCAGAGTGTGCAATAATACATCTTTTTATGAACTGAACAAATCTCCAAGCTTTTTGCAAAGAAGAATTTATCATTGTTATACTCAAAGATTCATGTTGTGAAGATAGAATAGCATAGAATAGGAAATGCTATTTTTCCAATCGAGACATCTTTTTCCACAGATCGTGTGCCATTCACCCTATTATGGACTCTACGTATATAGTTAATATTGTGGGAAAGTTCTGCAAATATACTTTAATTCTCAAAAGTTATCAAATAACATTCTACAATATTCATTCTTCTCACCAATCTACTGTTCAGCACTGGTTTTCTGCCTTCTGCAGATGACAATTACCCAGCAGGGGAGGTGATAGCCAAGTGATATTATCACTTGACTATTAATCCAGAAATATTCCAGGGATGATTAAATCTGGTGTCTCCCAAAAATCTGAAGAAACTGACAGGACCTCTGAGGACCTGTCTTTGAATCCTGCTACGGCAGATGCTAGACTTTGAATGCAATAGAAATTTGGAATTAAGAGTCTGATAATGACCATGAAACCATTCTCCATTGTTGGGGAAAAGCCCGTCTGGTTTATTACTGTCCTTTGTGGAAGGAAATCTGCTTCATTACCTAGTCTGGCTTCCATTTGACTCCAGACTTACAGTAATGTGGTTGACTGTTAACTTCCCTCTTGGGGAGGGAGGAAGGGTAGTTGCCTGGCCAGTGACACCCATAAGTTAAAAAGAAGCTTATGTCTGTAACAAAATCCATGGTACTGTTGCTATAGGTACACAGAAGTGTCATTAGTATTATGTATTAATTTAAATTACTATCTGTACAAGTACAGTGTGAAGACTTTGATGGCTACCAACTAAGGTGGCTTTTGTCTTAAACCTACGATATTAATGTGAAAACTAAATTAGGAAAATGCTTTGGAATGGGGTGAGAAATACTGCCCAGGGATCACTGATCCTGGAAAAGGAGCTGTCAAAGAAACCATTAGACCATTAACAAGCGATTTTTGTTAGAATTCAAATGAATTCCAGATAGGTCAAAGGTTAATGGGACAATTAAACCTCTGGTGCGAAAATAGAGAGAAAGAATGATTGCATTAAAAATTATGGAAACCAAAGTGATCCTATTGAACTAAACTTACAAGTGATGACTGCAGCAGATTGCACAAGATTAGGAAACAGTTGCTGATTACATTTAATCTTTGAAAACTTCGCTCTGCTCATCAGATGATGTTTTCAAAGATTAAAATGTTACATGTCATAAGATGAAACCACTTATACAATGGAGGGATGCTGTATGGGATTAAACTCCATCAATTTAATGACAACAAATTCCATCAGTATCAAAGTTACTCCAGTAATCTGCCCGTATAGACCCCTGTTTGTCTCAGTAGTATTTATGTTTGCCAAAATCTGTTATAGATCCTAGAAGTACAATAGTAAATGGTATCAGCAGGAACAGCACCTCATATTTCGCTTGGGAACCCTACAGCTCAATGGTATCAATGTGGACTTCACAAGCTTCAAAATCTCCCCACCCCCAACCTCATTCCAAAACCAGTCCAGCTCGTCCCCGCCTCCTCGACCTGTCCATCTTTTCTCCCACCTAGCCACTCCTCCCACCTCACTGACCAACGCCCACCCCCTACCTACCAGCCTCACCCCAGCCTCCTTGACCTGTCCGTCTTCCCTTGACTGACCAACCCCCATCCTAACTCCCCACCTACACTCACCTTTACTGGCTCCATCCCCACCTCCTTGACCTGTCCGTCTGCTCCCCACCTATCTGCTCCTTTATCCACCTTCCATCCGCCTCCCCCCACCTCGCTTTTTATTTCAGAGTCCCCTTCCCCTCCCCCGTTTCTGAAGAAGGGTCCAGACCCGAAACATCAGCTTTCCTCCTCCTCTGATGCTGCCTGGCCTGCTGTGTTCATCCAGCTCTGCACCATATTATCAAAGATTTGCAGGCTAGGTGAATTGGCCATGCTAAATTGCCCATAGTGCCCAGGGATGTGTAGATTAGGTGGGTTTATAGGGGAATTGGTCAGGGTGGGATGCTCTGTGGGTCAGTGTGGACTTGTTGGGCCGAAGGGCCTGTTTTCACACTGTAGGGATTCTATGATCTATGAATGTTGCTCATCCCTAATTGCCCTTAACTAATAGCTTGTTAGACCATTTCTGAAGATAATTAAGTGTTACATTGTAGTGAGTTAGGAGTTATATATTGGCCAAATCTCATGAAACAGTTATCCTTCCTTAAAAAAATGTCGCAGAAAAATCAATTTTTTTTTAACAAAAGCAACTGTCACACTTGGTATTTGCTGAGATGAGCTTTTGTTTCCAATTTCACCTGTAGTTGTGGGATTTGAGACCTATTCCCAGAGCTTTAACCTGGGCCTCTGGAGTAATAGTCCCATGACATTGCCAATATACAACTGTCTCCCCACATTCCCTGATAACCTGTTTTGTGTGACCTTATGTTCATTTCAATGAACACAAATCCCTTTCCCTCTGCAGAATGAAGACATGTTGATTCTACTTGATATTATGTGTTCCTATATGCTTGACTAATATGTCCTTTATAATGGACTCTTAACATTTTACCAATGACAGGTGTTGAGCTGACTGGCCTATAGTTCAGTTTTTAAATCTCCCTCCCCTTTTAGATAAGCGTGTTATATGAAACATCAATGTAGTCTATTTCTTCACATGACTGGACTATTGCTCATTATGATGTCATGTGACCTAGACTGGCTATGACTTAGCATCTTTCTGCAAACCAATGTGTTATTGTGAGCATCTCAAACCTGTATGCTTGGTCCTGGTTCAAATTGAGATAACTGTTCATTGATTTTGCTCTCGCATCGTTTTCTTCATTCTTTCTAAACTAAAACTAAACATTGTAGCATATGTTTGGGTGGTCGGGGTGTGTGAGGACAGACTCTGTGGATCTGTGTCCCAAACATGCTAGTGAGGAGTAAACTATTTCCTGTAGGAGTAGCATGTCTATCTTGTAACAAGCTTCATTATTCAGAAAGTATTGATGGTATTTATGAGTAACGTGGTGATTTTTATCATTTTTCCAGTCATTCATTTACATTTCTCATGAAAAGTATATTATTTTGTATCCCCATCTTTCCATTTTAGAAGATTCTCTTGTAAGTGATATTGTTACCTTTTAATCTTTCCTTCAATGTATATGACATCAAACCAGTCAGATAACTCACCATCCCAAAATATTTTTCTTTCAGTACAAATGGCTTACAAATTTCTTGTTGTCATACATTTATAATCCCTCTGTAAACATCATTTACATCTTAATCCAAGCTAATCTCTCTGATCTTCCAGCTACCTTTTCAGTGGTTTTGTTTCTGTGTAGATTTACGGCCAGTTTCTGATATTCATTGAATAACTCCATAGATATTTGTACTTTTCGCAACTTTAATGTTGTGTTTGAGTTCTGTAAATTTATTTAGGTTGTTAATTCGGAATGTGAGCCCTGTTCAAACATAATGTGCTCATGATATCATCTTCTGGAGTGGCTTAGAACAAAAAGTACTGGACACTGCTAACTTAAGATTTCATGAGAGTTTAAAAAAGTACAAGTCCTCTTCCAGAACAGAAACCGAGTTAACATGGTGCAGAGCTGGATGA